TGTCTTGATACTTATTGTTGATTGGCCCTGGATTAGGCTTTGGCCCAGCTCTGTAAAAGGGAATTGAAGTCCAAGAAGTTGAAAATGTTGGGGGAGTTGGTGGGCAGAGTGACACAGAACCCAGGGTATGCCCTGCTAAGGTCCCGTGAAGTTAAAAGGCCAGCCTGGCACCGTGCCCCCCACCTCCTCCGCGAGCTTGGCCAGTTAGGCTGTGAGGACCACCTGTTATGTGGTGGAGATCTTGGTTTCTTGGTTTCTCTCCCAGAGGGGCAGCTGTCCCCAAGTGAGGGGCAGCTGCACGTGAATGTAGCCCAGTTACTTCCCTTTCAGCTGGGAGAGAAAGGAATTGAGGTCAATCCCCTTGCCCTTTACATGCCAGGCAGGTTGTTAAACACCAAGCCCCGGGCATCCCCCTCTAGAGTGGAGAGGTCTAGAGGTCTCTCCTGACTCTTCGGGAGCCAGGAAGAGTCTGATGGGTGGTGGAACTCAGCTGCCTCTTTCAGAGCCCACGGTATAATGCGTGGGAACCCATCCTCTTAGTCTGGTTCCCTTTGCCTCCCCCTGCCGCCTGTTAGCTGCGGTCAGTGGGGGGTGTCAGAGGAGTGTTGAGTTACTGGACCATGAACAGCCCATGGGTAGCTGCCTTGGGAAACCATAGCTGATGTGCATTTACTGCCCAGCTTCTATGCATTATGTAGCAGCTTTTTATTCCGTCTTGGGCTTACTAAAATTTCAGCGGTGCCAACAACAGGGATCTCTGGGTTCCAAGGTCTGGGCATAACTGCTACCTGGGAGGCAGCTGGGAGGGAGTCCAGTTTGCAAGTAGAGGCTGGACGCTCTCTCTAGGGGAATGGGGAAGCCTTTCCTATCTTCTAAGGGGGTGGACAATGATCACAGCCCAGTGCTGACACCTATACATTCTTCATTGAATTTTTGTGGCACTTTGCCAGCTAAGTCTTTAAACCGTTTACAGATGAGGGAAACTGAGGCTCAAGCGTGAAGTGTCTTGTCCAAGATCTTAGACTATAGAGCTAGTCAGTGGCAGGGCTGGGGTATGGGCAGAGCTGCATAACGGTGTCTTTCTGTCCCCATGACACCCTTCCCAGGAGTCTTCCTGCCTCTTGTCATTTTGCTGTCACAGGGAAGCAAGGGGAGAGGCTTTGCAAAAGATGTTCAAACTGAGAATTTAAGTCCCGAGGGCCACCTGTGGATTCTGGAGTTGGGGGTTGGCCTGTAGACCTAAGTTTGCTGGGGTAGGGCAGAGGGCTCTGTCTTCTGAAAGGAGTGGGTCAGGGTGACACCTGTGTTCCTGACCTGTCCCATCTGTCTTCGCAGAAGGAGCCCAGTGAAGTGCCAACACCTAAGAGACCTCGGGGCCGACCAAAGGGGAGCAAAAACAAGGGTGCTGCCAAGACCCGGGTGAGGCTTGAGAGGGTTAGGGTTAAGAGGAAGGAGGGCCCTCTCCCCACGACAGCAGCTGTGGGAGGTTTGGGAAGGAGCTGGCTTGTCCTATTCTCTGCACTCCCTTTCTCTGGCATGTGGGTGGCCATGGGTCTTTGCTAATTGGCCAGGGGTGAGGACTGAAGGTCTGTCTGTAGCCTTGGTCCTCCCTAGGACAACTGGAAAGCAAGTCAAATGTCCTGCAGCTTTGGGAAGAGGGAAGGGGCAGCTCCACCCTGGGCTGAGAATGTTACCTTCTCTCCCAGAGGCCCCCTGCATCCTGAGGGAGTGTGGATAAGCAGGGAAGGCCAGATTTACGGTGGCATCAGCCTTTCAGAGAACTTGTTTTGTTTTTTATTTTATTTTTTTCTAAGACACGACTCATATCCTCTGAGTCATGGGTGGAGGAGGGAGTGGGGGGCGTGTGTGTATGTTGGGGTGGGGGGGCAGTGTGGCCGGCCAGTCATCACCAGCTGGGGTGAGAGTCCTGGGCTGCCCTGAGCAGAGGTAGGGGGACCTGCCCCTCCCTACTCTCCCTCGCCGTCCAGGGTACCGGTCATTGGGTGAGCCCTGTCAGGGACATTTTTGACTTAGATATTTTATTTTCTCTGACCATCCAGAAAACTACCACAACTCCAGGGAGGAAACCAAGGGGCAGACCCAAAAAACTGGTAGGTGAAGAGGCTGGCAGCTTGGGTCTTGTGGGGAGGCTGTTAAGGGGTGATGCCCCATCTGTGTGCCCACCACAGAAAGATGGCTCTCCCTGACCTGCAGGGCCAGGAATGATGGGACTTCATGTTTTACTCAGGCCCAGAGAGGGGAAGGGATTTGCCCAAGGCCCAGGCACCTGGCCCCCAGCCCAGGGCTTTTAAAGGGCTATGTCCATGAGAAGTGAGGGGTCCCAGGTACAAAGCAAACCAGACCCCTTCCCTGCCCTACCTGGGGGCGGTCCCTTCGTCTGCTTCTGAAACGGACTCAGAACTTCTAGGGAGAACTTGGAAGTCATCTAGTCCCCTCCCCACCACACACCCCCAACCCCCATTATAGAAATGCGGAAAGGAAGCCACAGAGAGAAGGGGTGAGGTTTGGCTTGATTCTTGGGAGAGAAGAAGCAGAGGAGCTCACCGTGGGGGTGGGGTCAGTGTTGGGTGGGAGTTGAGGTGTGATGCCTCATGGAGGTACTTCCTCACAGGAAGGCATCGTCTGTTTCTGGGCCCCCAAATAGCCGGTAGTGGAAGTGGGCAGGCTGAGGGAGACTGCCTCTAGGGGGAACACTGCAGTGAGGGCCACCCCAGCCTTCCTCTGCCTGGCCCTTTCCGACCCCCAACCTGTTCCTGCGCTCCCTGAGGCCTTCATTCCTCGAGCTGAGCCACCAGAGGGTGAGGGGGGCTAAGGGGTGCTGGCGGGGCCCCAGGAGTGAGTAACAGGAAACAAGTTGTTTTGGAGTTTGTGCCTGGCACGGGGGCCCCCGTGTGGTGTCCCGACATTCCCACCCAGTGAGTGAGCCCCGGCGGCACACACTTCCCCTTCCTCCCCGCCCTGGCCTGGGGTCAGCCCGCGGCCGTGGCCACTCTGCAGCCCTGGTCCACAGCCCAGCAGCTGCCCCTGTAGGCTAAGGCCACCTGGTTCCCCTTCACCCGCCAGGGGGGGCTCATGCACCCTCCAGCCACCCCTTCCCACCCCATTTCCTCTCCCTGGCCACCTCTTCTCCCCTCCGTGAGAGCCAGTCACTTCCTCACTTCCTCGAGCTCAGTGCTGTCCTGAGCTCTGCCAGGTCCCCCCTGCCATGGGCCTGGGGGCCAAGAGGGCCTGGCTCTATGTGAGAGCAGCATGTGTGTGGTTTTTTTTTCCTCCCTTTAAATTCTTCCTTTTTTATGAATGAAACTGGGCCTTGGAGGTTGCTGAGTCACCCACACACTCAGCCCTGACTCATCCCCCTTCTGGAGAGCCAGGGAGTGCAGGGAGGGGTGGGGGCAAGCTTGGCTTCTGGGGGTGGAGGAGGAGGGGGGCAGGCCTGGCATTCCTGCTGATGGCCCTGCCCACCTCACAGGAGAAGGAGGAAGAAGAGGGCATCTCGCAGGAGTCCTCAGAGGAGGAGCAGTGACCGCGCCGCTGTGCCGCCTGCTCCCTCACCGAGGAGCAGTTTCCTTCTGGGACTGGACAGCTCCGCTCCGCTCCCACTGCCCCCACCCTTCCCCAGGTCCACGCATCACCGCCACCCACCTGCACCCTCACCACCACACTACACCGCACACCAGCCGCTGCAGGGCCCCTAGGGCCCGAGTGGGAAGCAGTTTTCCTTTGATTTCAATTCCCAGCGACCCCTCTCATCCACACGCCACACCTGCCCCCTGGACAAAGCTGACTTCTCACGTCACTGCTCCCTGCGCTGCTGATCCCCACTCCCTCAGCGGTGGGGACATTGCTGGCTGGGCTCTTGGTCTGGGGGTCCCTTCTGGTCCCTGACTCTTCCCTCTGGCTTCCCATTAAGGGGCCTGGGAGGG